CATTACTCCTCGTTCTGTCATCTGCTACGATTGAGAACAGTCTAGAGCCATCCTCTTTGGAACCCCCTTTCAGGTAGTTGAAAGCAGCTATCAAATCCCCCCTCATTCTTCTCTTCTGCAGACTAAACAATCCCAGCTCCCTCAGCCTCTCCTCATAAGTCATGTGTTCTAGACCCCTAATCATTTTTGTTGCCCTTCGCTGGACTCTCTCCAATTTATCCACATCCTTCTTGTAGTGTGGGGCCCAAAACTGGACACAGTACTCCAGATGAGGCCTCACCAATGTCAAATAGAGGGGAATGGTCACGTCCCTCAATCTGCTCGCTATTCCCCTACTTATACATCCCAAAATGCCATTGGCCTTCTTGGCAACAAGGGCACACTGCTGACTCATATCCAGCTTCTCATCCACTGTCACCCCTAGGTCCTTTTCCGCAGAACTGCTGCCTAGCCATTCGGCCCCTAGTCTGTAGCGGTGCATTGGATTCTTCCGTCCTAAGTGCAGGACCCTGCACTTATCCTTATTGAACCTCATCAGATTTCTTTTGGCCCAATCCTCCAATTTGTCTAGGGCCCTCTGTATCCTATCCCTCCCCTCCAGCGTATCTACCACTCCTCCCAGTTTAGTATCATCCGCAAATTTGCTGAGAGTGCAATCTACACCATCCTCCAGATCATTTATGAAGATATTGAACAAAACCGGCCCCAGGACCGACCCCTGGGGCACTCCACTTGACACCGGCTGCCAACTAGACATGGAGCCATTGATCACTACCCGTTGAGCCCAACAATCTAGCCAGCTTTCTACTCACCTTAGGCTATGAGGCTATGGAATAATGTTTTGCCTGTGTTAAAAAATTCTGTTGACCTTTTGAGCAGGGATTTGAAATTAGGCAGGGACATGGCCTTTGTGTCAGGTAAGTGCCCCTCCAACCACCTGCCCCTAACCCTGAGCCCTCTCCCACGCACCCAAACTGTTGCTGCTGGTCCCCAGCACCAGCAGAAGTCACAGAAAGTCATAGAATCCATGACAGACTAGCAGCCTTACTTATAATCACTTAAAATTTTACCTCTTATAGTTAATAAACTTGTTTTTGTCTATTCCAAAACCCACTTTGTGCAATTCATATGGGGGTGGGGGTGGGGGCAAAAAGCTGGCATATCTCCCTCCACATTCAGGGAGGGGGCAATTTTTATGAGCATACGTTGTACAGATCTCTCAATACAGCGCAAGACATTGCTGACACACACTGAGGTTCATACGCATCAGACACTGCAGCAGTGACTCAAGATAGGTTTCACGCTGTCACAGAGACTGCGTCTTGCCAGAACCCACGGCCCTCCTGCAGCCCCAAGCACTCCTGGCTCACCACGAGCATTTTGACAGGAAATACCAAGCAGTAACAACAACAGCAATAATACAAGTGTGTGTGCATGTGTGCAAATGTTTGTGTGTGTGTGTGTATTGTGTGTGAGAGAGAGCCAGGGCGTGTGAGAGAGACATGTTAATTACAGCCCTGCCCAATTCTTGGGGAAGGCACACACCCAGTTGGATTTTAGGGCATTGTTTATTAGGTGGCCATCTTGATCTGGATAAGAACAAGGTGATCTCCATGTTGTGACAGTTTCTTGTTCCCCTATACTGGGCAAAAAGTGGGAATCAGTTATTGCTAAGTAACCGGTTTCTAAATAAACAAATGAAGGGAGGGGCCAAGGGCTCTTGAATGCTGGAATCTTTGGGGCTCAGGTGTCAAAAAGCTCTCTCTCTCTGTAGTGTGGTATACCTTCCACACTGGCTACTGCAGGCCAATAACCACTCACTGAACGAAGTTGTTATCTTGGGGTTTATTATTTTCTTTTGGGGAGCAGACGTGCACTCTTGGACTAGATCCAGTTAGTTAGATCTGACACTTACCCATAGACGACGTAAAGAGGGATAGCATGGGTCTGAGATAGGGTTACTTACCTGTCTTCGACACCTGTGATCCACTGTTGGTGTCCATCGCTGATCTCACCAGTCCGAATTCTGCAGCCTCGCCACAAGCAGTACCCAAAGGAGGTAGAAAAACATCTTTGCTTTATTGAGTGTGTGTGCGCATGTGTATGTTTATATTCCAAATCTTCAGTGTCCTTAATCCATCCCCCTCCCCTTCCTTCCTTCTCCTTTAGTAAATAAAGTGTTGTTGTGAGTTAATATCAATCTGGTTTCTTTTATTCCAGCTCTGATAAATGGGCTTAAGGGGAGACCTAGCAGGAGGTATACTATAAGGGTATGTCTACACTACGGAATAAGGTCGAATTTATAGAAGTCGGTTTTTTAGAAATCGGTTTTATATATTCGAGTGTGTGTCCCCACAGAAAATGCTCTAAGTGCATTAAGTGCATTAACTCGGCGGAGTGCTTCCACAGTACCGAGGCTAGAGTCGACTTCCGGAGCATTGCACTGTGGATAGCTATCCCACAGTTCCCGCAGTCTCCGCTGCCCATTGGAATTCTGGGTTGAGATCCCAATGCCTGATGGGGCTAAAACATTGTCGCGGGTGGTTCTGGGTACATATCGTCAGGCCCCCCTTCCCTCCCTCCCTCCGTGAAAGCAAGGGCAGACAATCGTTTCGCGCCTTTTTTCCTGAGTTACCTGTGCAGACGCCATACCATGGCAAGCATGGAGCCCGCTCAGGTAACCGTCACCCTATGTCTCCTGGGTGCTGGCAGACGCGGTACGGCTTTGCTACACAGTAGCAGCAACCCATTGCCTTCTGGCAGCAGGCGGTGCAGTATGACTGGTAGTCGTCCTCGTCGTGTCCGAGGTGCTCCTGGCCACGTCGGCTGGGAGCGCCTGGGCAGCCATGGGCGCAGGGACTAAATTTGGAGTGACTTGACCAGGTCATTCTCTTTAGTCCTGCAGTCAGTCCTATTGAACCGTCTTATGGTGAGCAGGCAGGCGATACGGATTGCTAGCAGTCGTACTGTACCATCTTCTGCCAGGCAGGCAAGAGATGAGGATTGCTAGCAGTCGTATTGTACCATCTTCTGCCAGGCAGGCAAGAGATGAGGATGGCTAGCAGTCATACTGTACCATCTTCTGCTGAGCAGCCATGAGATGTGGATGGCATGCAGTCCTTCTGCACCATCTGCTGCCAGCCAAAGATGTAAAAGATAGATGGAATGGATCAAAACAAGAAATAGACCAGATTTGTTTTGTACTCATTTGCCTGCTCCCCTGTCTAGGGGACTCATTCCTCTAGGTCACACTGCAGTCACTCACAGAGAAGGTGCAGCGAGGTAAATCTAGCCATGTATCAATCAGAGGCCAGGCTAACCTCCATGTTCCAATAAGAACAATAACTTAGGTGCACCATTTCTTATTGGAACCCTCGGTGAAGTCCTGCCTGAAATACTCCTTGATGTAAAGACACCCCCTTTGTTGATTTTAGCTCCCTGAAGCCAACCCTGTAAGCCATGTCGTCAGTCGCCCCTCCCTCCGTCAGAGCAACGGCAGACAATCATTCCGCGCCTTTTTTCTGTGCGGACATCATAGCAAGGCAAGCATGGAGGCCGCTCAGCTCACTTTGGCAATTAGGAGCACATTAAACACCACATGCATTATCCAGCAGTATATGCAGCACCAGAACCTGGCAAAGCGATACCGGGCGAGGAGGCGACGTCAGCGCGGTCACGTGAGTGATCAGGACATGGACACAGATTTCTCTGAAAGCATGGGCCCTGACAATGCATGCATCATGGTGCTAATGGGGCAGGTTCATGCTGTGGAACGCCGATTCTGGGCTTGGGAAACAAGCACAGACTGGTGGGACCGCATAGTGTTGCAGGTCTGGGACAATTCCCAGTGGCTGCGAAACTTTCGCATGAGTAAGGGCACTTTCATGGAACTTTGTGACTTGCTTTCCCCTGCCCTGAGGCGCATGAATACCAAGATGAGAGCAGCCCTCACAGTTGAGAAGCGAGTGGCGATAGCCCTGTGGAAGCTTGCAACGCCAGACAGCTACCGGTCAGTTGGGAATCAATTTGGAGTGGACAAATCTACTGTGGGGGCTGCTGTGATGCAAGTAGCCCACGCAATCAAAGATCTGCTGATATCAAGGGTAGTGACCCTGGGAAATGTGCAGGTCATAGTGGATGGCTTTGCTGCAATGGGATTCCATAACTGTGGTGGGGCCATAGACGGAACCCATATCCCTATCTTGGCACCGGAGCACCAAGCCGCCGAGTACATAAACCGCAAGGGGTACTTTTCGATAGTGCTGCAAGCTCTGGTGGATCACAAGGGACGTTTCACCAACATCAACGTGGGATGGCCAGGAAAGGTACATGACGCTCGCATCTTCAGGAACTCTGGTCTGTTTCAAAAGCTGCAGGAAGGGACTTTATTCCCAGACCAGAAAATAACTGTTGGGGATGTTGAAATGCCTATATGTATCCTTGGGGACCCAGCCTACCCCTTAATGCCATGGCTCATGAAGCCGTACACAGGCAGCCTGGACAGTAGTCAGGAGCTGTTCAACTACAGGCTGAGCAAGTGCAGAATGGTGGTAGAATGTGCATTTGGATGTTTAAAGGCGCGCTGGCGCAGTTTACTGACTTGCTTAGACCTCAGCGAAACCAATATTCCCACTGTTATTACTGCTTGCTGTGTGCTCCACAATATCTGTGAGAGTAAGGGGGAGACGTTTATGGCGGGGTGGGAGGTTGAGGCAAATCGCCTGGCTGCTGGTTACGCGCAGCCAGACACCAGGGCGGTTAGAAGAGCACAGGAGGGCGCGGTACGCATCAGAGAAGCTTTGAAAACCAGTTTCATGACTGGCCAGGCTACGGTGTGAAAGTTCTGTTTGTTTCTCCTTGATGAAACCCCCCGCCCCTTGGTTCACTCTACTTCCCTGTAAGCTAACCACCCGCCCCTCCTCCCTTCAATCACCGCTTGCAGAGGCAATAAAGTCATTGTTGCTTCACATTCATGCATTCTTTATTCATTCATCACACAAATAGGGGGATGACTACCAAGGTAGCCCAGGAGGGGTGGTGGAGGAGGGAAGGAAAATGCCACACAGCACTTTAAGCACAGCACTTTAAAAGTTTACAACTTTAAAATTTATTGAATGACAGCCTTCTTTTTTTTGGGCAATCCTCTGTGGTGGAGTGGCTGGTTGGCCGGAGGCCCCCCCACTGCGTTCTTGGGCGTCTGGGTGTGGAAGCTATGGAACTTGGGGAGGAGGGCGGTTGGTTACAGAGGGGCAGCAGTGGCAGTCTGTGCTCCAGCTGCCTTTGCTGCAGCTCAACCATACACTGGAGCATACTGGTTTGGTCCTGCAGCAGCCTCAGCATTGAATCCTGCCTCTTCTCATCACGCTGCCGCCACATTTGAGCTTCAGCCCTGTCTTCAGCCCGCCACTTACTCTCTTCAGCCCGCCACTTACTCTCTTCAGCCTGCCACCTCTCCTCCCGGTCATTTTGTGCTTTCCTGCACTCTGACATTATTTGCCTCCACGCATTCGTCTGTGCTCTGTCAGTGTGGGAGGACAGCATGAGCTCGGAGAACATTTCATCGCGAGTGCGTTTTTTTTTCTTTCTAAGCTTCACTAGCCTCTGGGAAGGAGAAGATCCTGTGATCATTGAAACACATGCAGCTGGTGGAGAAAAAAAAAAGGGACAGCGGTATTTAAAAAGACACATTTTATAAAACAGTGGCTACACTCTTTCAGGGTAAACCTTGCTGTTAACATTACATACATAGCACATGTGCTTTCGTTACAAGGTCGCATTTTGCCTCCCCCCACCGCGTGGCTACCCCCTCAACCTTCCCCCCTCCCTGTGGCTAACAGCGGGGAACATTTCTGTTTAGCCACAGGCAAACAGCCCAGCAGGAATGGGCTCCTCTGAGTGTCCCCTGAAGAAAAGCACTCTATTTCAACCAGGTGACCATGAATTATATCTCACTCTCCTGAGGATAACACAGAGAGATAAAGAACGGATGTTGTTTGAATGCCAGCAAACATACACTGCAATGCTTTGTTCTACAATGATTCCCGAGTACATGTTACTGGCCTGGAGTGGTAAAGTGTCCTACCATGAAGGACACAATAAGGCTGCCCTCCCCAGAAACCTTTTGCAAAGGCTTTAGGACTACATCTAGGAGAACCGTGAATGCCAGGGCAAAGTAATCCTTTCACATGCTTGCTTTTAAACCATGTATAGTATTTTAAAAGGTACACTCACCAGAGGTCCCTTCTCCGCCTGCTGGGTCCAGGAGGCAGCCTTGGGTGGGTTCGGGGGGTACTGGCTCCAGGTCCAGGGTGAGAAACAGTTCCTGGCTGTCAGGAAAACCGGTTTCTCCGCTTGCTTGCTGTGAGCTATCTACAACCTCCTCCTCATCATCATCTTCTTCGTCCCCAAAACCTGCTTCCGTATTGCCTCCATCTCCATTGAAGGAGTCAAACAACACGGCTGGGGTAGTGGTGGCTGAACCCCCTAAAATGGCATGCAGCTCATCATAGAAGCGGCATGTTTGGGGCTCTGACCCAGAGCGGCTGTTCGCCTCTCTGGTTTTCTGGTAGGCTTGCCTCAGCTCCTTCAGTTTCACGCGGCACTGCTTCGGGTCCCTGTTATGGCCTCTGTCCTTCATGCCCTGGGAGATTTTCACAAAGGTTTTGGTATTTTGAAAACTGGAACGGAGTTCTGATAGCACGGGTTCCTCTCCCCAAACAGCGATCAGATCCCGTACCTCCCGTTCGGTCCATGCTGGAGCTCTTTTGCGATTCTGGGACTCCATCATGGTCACCTGTGCTGATGAGCTCTGCATGGTCACCTGCAGCTTGCCACGCTGGCCAAACAGGAAATGAGATTTAAAAGTTCGCGGTTCTTTTCCTGTCTACCTGGCCAGTGCATCTGAGTTGAGAGTGCTGTCCAGAGCGGTCACAATGGAGCACTCTGGGATAGCTCCCGGAGGCCAATACCATCGAATTGTGTCCACAGTACCCCAAATTCGAGCCGGCAAGGTCGATTTAAGCGCTAATCCACTTGTCAGGGGTGGAGTAAGGAAATTGATTTTAAGAGCCCTTTAAGTCGAAATAAAGGGCTTCATTGTGTGGACGGGTGCAGGTTTAAATCGATTTAACGCTGCTAAATTCGACCTAAAGTCCTAGTGTAGACCAGGGCTAAGGCTCCCCAAAGTCTTCTGGTCATATAGACTGTAAAAAATCCTTACAGAGAGAGAGAGACTGTGTGTGTTTGTGTGTGACTGTGTGTTGGTGGACTGTGTGACAGAGTGTGTGTTGGGGAGTGTGAGACTGTGTGTGTGTGACAATCTGTATTGGGGGACTGTAACTCATGAGAGGCAGAGTGTATGTGGGTGTGAGAGCCAGTCTGTGTGTGTGTTAGGGAAGTGTGAGAGACAGTGAGTGCACTACCACTTTAAGTCCCCCCATTTCTCCCTCCTCCCCCTTTCCCCCCGACTCACATGGAAGTTTCGCTCCTCCTGGCCTGGCCCCTGCCGGAGACCAAGTGGTGCTGCAGGCAAGGTCCAGGGAGAAACTCCACTCCGTTCAGTGGTGGGCCCGGGCTGTGCTGCTCTGGGCTCCCCGAGGCTGGATCGGCAGAGCCAGAGGCTGGAGTCCTCAGCCAGCTGGCAGAGGAATGTGGGAGGGAGGGGGCAGGGTTAGGGTTGGGGAGAAACCCCCAGCGCGGGGGAGGGGCCAGAGAAGAGAGGAGTCCAGCTGCGGCCAGCGAGGGGAATGGTGCCGCAAATTTTCGGGTGCCCTACGCAGCCGCATATGCCTAGGGTCGGTCCTGTGTGCATGTGAGTGCTGGGTGAATCATAGAAGATTAGGGTTGGAAGAGACCTCAGGAGGTCATCTAGTCCAACCCCCTGCTCAAAGCAGGACCAGCACCAACTAAATCATCCCAGCCAGGGCTTTGTCAAGCCGGGCCTTAAAAACCTCTAAAGGATGGAGATTCCACCACCTCCCTAGGTAACCCATTCCAGTGCTTCACCACCCTCCTAGTGACATAGTGTTTCCTAATATCCAACCTAGACCTACCCCACTGCAACTTGAGACCATAGTTCCTTGTTCTGTCATCTGCCACCACTGAGAACAGCCTAGCTCTATCCTCTTTGGAAACTCCCTTCTGCTAGTTGAAGCCTGCTATCAAATCCCACCGCCCCCACCGCCTCCCACCTTCTCTTCTGCAGACTAAATAAAACCAGTTCCCTCAGACTCTCCAGTCTATGAGTTGCTTCATAAGTCATGTGCCCCAGTCCCCTGATCTTTTTGAGTGGTAACAGCTAATTTAGACCCCATCATTTTATATGTATAGTTGGGATTATGCTTTCCAATGTGCATTACTTTGCATTTATCAACATTAAATTTCATCTGCCATTTTGTTGCCCAGTCACCCAGTTTTGAGAGATCCTTTTGTAGCTCTTCGCAGTCTGCCTCGATCTTAACTTTCTGTAGTAATTTTGCATCATCTGCAAATTTTGCCACCTCACTGTTTATGCCTTTTCCACATCATTTATGAACATGTTGAATAGGACTGGTCCCAGAACAGACCCCTGGGGGACACCACTATTTACCTCTCTCCATTCTGAAAACTGACCATTTATACCTACCCTTTGTTTCCTATCTTTTAACCAATTACCAATCCATGAGAGAACCTTCCCTCTTATCCCGTGGCAGCTTACTTTGCATAAGAGCCTTTGGTGAGGGACCTTGTCAAAGGCTTTCTGAAAACTTAATACACTATATCCGCTGGATCCCCCTTGGTCCACATGCTTGTTGACTCCCTCAAAGAATTCTAGTAGATTGGTGAGGCATGATTTCCCTTTACTAAAATCATGTTGACCCTTCCTCAACAAATTATGTTCCTCTATATGTCTGACAATATTGTTCTTTATTATAGTTTCAACTAGTTTGTCCGGTACTGAAGTCAGGTTTACAGGCGTGTAATTGCCGGGATCACCTCTGGAGCCCTTTTAAAAAATTGGCGTCACATTAGCTATCCTCCAGTCATCTGGTATAGAACCTGATTTAAATGACAGGTTACAGACTACAGTTAGTAGTTCTGCAATTTCACATTTGAGTTCATTCAGAACTCTTGGGTGAATACCATCTGGTCCTAGTGACTTATTGCTATTTAATTTATCAATTTGTTCCAAAACCTCCTCTAATGATACCTCAATCTGGGACAGTTCCTCAGATCTGTCCCCTAAAAAGAATGGCTCAGGTTTGGGAGTCTCCCTCACATCCTCAGCCGTGAAGACTAATGTAAAGAATTCATTTAGTTTCTCCGCAATGGCCTTATCGTGCTTGAGTGCTCCTTTAGCATCTCGAACGTCCAGTGGCCCCACTGGTTGTTTAGCAGGCTTCCTGCTTTTGATGTATTTTAAAAAAAAATTATTACTTTTTGAGTCTTTGGCTAACTGTTCCTCAAATTCTTTTTTGGCCTTCCTAATTGTATTTTTACACTTCATTTGCCAGTGTTTATGCTCCTTTCTATTTTCCTCACTAGGATTTAACTTCCACTTTTTAAAGGATGCCCTTTTGCCTCTCACTGCTTCTTTTACTTTGTTGTTTAGCCACGGTGGCTCTTTTTTGGTTCTCTATGTTTTTTAATTTGGGGTATGCATTTAAGTTCAGCCTCTATTATGGTGTCTTTAAAAAGTTTCCACGCAGCTTGCAGATCTTTCACTTTTGGCCCTGTACCCTTTCATTTCTGTTTAACTAACCTCCTCATTTTTGTGTAGTTCCCCTTTCTAAAATTAAATGCTACAGTGTTGGGCCTCTGTGGTGTTTTTCCTGCCACAGGGATATTAAATTTAATTATATTATGGTCACTATTACCAAGCCTTATTATTATAGCCAAGCCTTATTATATTCACCTTTTGGACCAGATCCTGTGCTCCACTTAGGACTAGATCAAGAATTGCCTCTCCTCTGGTGGGTTCCAGGACCAGTTGCTCCAAGAAGCAGTCATTTAAGGTGTCAAGAAACTTTATCTCTGCATCCCGTCCTGAGGTGACATGTATCCAGTCAATGACTCCACTAGACTCTCTCCAATTTGTCCACATCCTTTCTGTAGTGGGGGGCCCCAAACTGGACACAGTACACCAGATGGGGCCTCACCAGTGCCGAATACAGCGGAATAATCACTTCCCTCTATCTGTTGGCAAGGCTCCTACTAATGCAGCCCAATATGCCGTTAGCCTTCCTGGCAACAAGGGCACAAGCTGGATATGAGTCAGCAGTCTCGTCCACTGTAATCCCCAGGTCCTTTTCTGAAGAACTCCTGCTTAGCCACTCTGTCTCCAGCCTGTAGCAGTGCATGGGATTCTTCTGTCCTTAGTACAGGACTCTGCACTTGTCCTTGTTGAACCTCATCAGATTTCTTTTGGCCCAATCCTCCAATTTGTCTAGGTCACTCTCAACCCAATCCCTACCCTCCAGCATATCTACCTCTTCCCACAGTTTACTGTCATCCGTAAACTTGCTGAGGGTGCAATCCATCCCATCATCCAGATCATTAATAAAGATGAACAAAATCGGCCCCAGGACCGACCCCTGGGGCAATCCGCTTGCTACTGGTTGCAAGCTAGACATCGAGCCATTGATCACTACCTGTTGAGCCCAACAATCTAGCCATCTTTCTATCCACCTTATAGTCCATTCATCCAATCTGTATGTTTTTAACTTGCTGGCAAGAATACTGTGGGAGACCGTATCAAAAGCTTTGCTAAAGTCAAGATATATCACATCCGCTGCTTTCCTCATATCCAAAGAGCCAGTTATCTCATCATAGAAGGCAATCAGGTTGGTCAGGCATGACTTGCCTTTGGTGACTCCATGTTGACTGTTCCTGATCACCTTCCTCTCCTCCTCCTATCTGGCTTTAAGATTAAATGCGATAAGTTTATGGAGGAGATGGTATTATGGGATAACATGATTTTGGCATTAATTGATCTTTAAATATTCATGGGAAATAAGCCCAATGGCCTGTAATGGGATGTTAGATGGGGTAGGATCTGAGTTACTACAGAGAATTTTTCCTGGGTATCTGGCTGGTGAATCTTGCCCATATGCTCAGGGTTCAGCTGATCGCCATATTTGGGGTCAGGAATGAATTTTCCTCCAGGGCAGATTGGAAGAGGCCCTGGGGTTTTTTCGCCTTCCTCTGTAGCATGGGACACGGGGCACTTGCTGGAGGATTCTCTGCACCTTGAAGTCTTTAAACCATGATTTGAGGACTTCAATAGCTCAGACATAGGTGAGAGGTTTATCGCAAGAGTGGGTGGGTGAGATTCTGCAGCCTGCATTGTGCAGGAAGTCAGACTAGATGATCATAATGGTCCCTGCTGACCTTAATATCTATGAATCTATGTGCTCCAAAATGGTTTCCTTGAGGACATGCTCCATTATTTTTCCAGGGACTGAGGTGAGCCTGACAGGTCTGTAGTTCCCCGGGTTCTCCTTCTTCCCTTTTTAAAAGATGGGCACTATATCTGCCTTTTTTCAATCATCCGGGACCTCCCCCGATTGCCATGAGTTTTCAAAGATAATGGCCAAAGGCTCTGCAATCACATCAGCCAATGCCCTTCGCACCCTTGGATACATTAGATATGGACCCATGGACTTGTGCATGTCCAGCTTTTCTAAATAGTCCTTAACCTGTTCTTTCACCCCTGAGGGCTGCTCACCTCCTTCCCATACTGTGTTGCCCAGGACAGCAGTGTGGGAGCTGACCTTGTGTGTGAAGACCAAGGCAAAAAAAGCATTGAGTACTTCAGCTTTTTCCACATCATCTGTCACTAGGTTGCCTTCCCCATTCAGTAAGAGTCCCAGACTTTCCCTGATCTTCTTCTTGTTGCTAACATACCTGTAGACACCCTTCTTGTTACCCTTCACATCCCTTGCTAGCTGCAACTCCAATTGTGCCTTGGTCTTCCTGATTACACCCCTGCATACTTGAGCAATATTTTTATACTCTTCCCTAGTCATCTGTCCAAGTTTCCACTTCTTATAAGCTTCCTTTTTGTGTTTAAGTTCACTGAAGATTTCTCTGTTAAGCCAAGCTGGTCACTTGCTATATTCGCTATTCTTTCTGCACGTCGAGATGGTTTGTTCCTGCGCCCTCAATAAGGCGTTTTTAAAATACAGCCAGCTCTCCTGGACTCCTTTCCCCCTCATATTAGCCTCCCAGGGGCTCCTGCCCATCAGTTCCCTAAAGGAGTCAAAGTCTGCTTTTCTGAAGTCCAGGAGCCGTATTTTGCTACTCTCCTTTCTTCCTTTTGTGGGGATCCTGAACTCAACCATCTCATGGTCACTGTTTCCCAGGTTGCCACCCTACTTCCCCTACCAATTCTTCCCTGTTTGTAAACAGCAGGTCAAGAGGAGAATGACCCCTGGCTGGTTCCTCCACTAGTTGAACCAGGAAGTTGTCCACAACACTCTCCAAAAACTTCCTGGATTTTCTGTGCACTGCTGTATTGCTCTCCCAGAAGATGTCAGGGTGATTGAAGTTCCCCATTAGAACCAGGGCCTGTGTTCTGGAAACTTCAGTTAGTTGTCCGAAGAAAGCCTCGTCTACCTCATCCTCCTAGCCCGGTGGTCTATAGCAGTGGTCTCCAAACTTTTTTGATTGTGCACCCCTATCAGTAAAAAGAATTTTGAGCACGCACCCCCAATATATGTATATTTATTTATGTATAAATGATATACATGTACTACTGTACTAATACATTGTGTAAATTATAAAAATACACAAAAATAGACATTAAAAAAGATGAGATAAAGATGAAATAAACAATATTTTTAAAATATTTTTTATTTATTAACAGTACAAAAAACCTTTTTGCTCTCACTAAAAAAAATTATTAATAATATTTTTAGTGAGAGCAATGTGATTGAATATGCTTTATTATTTTTGAAAATCTTGGTTTAACACTTTGTGATACAGCAGGCGTTCAGGGTGGGGTGCTGGGTCTGGGAGGGAGTTAAGGTGCGGGAGGGCACTCAGGGTGGGGATGCGGGAGGAGGCTCAGGGCTGGGGCAGGCAGGACATGCAGAGCACTTACCTGGGGCAGCTCCTGTTTGGTGCAGGGGGCATGTAGGTGGCTCTGTGCAGCGCAGCACCACCCACATGGCCACGATTCTGGGAGCCGCGATTCATAGAATCATAGAATCATAGAATATAAGGGTTGGAAGGGACCCCAGAAGGTCATCTAGTCCAACCCCCTGCTCAAAGCAGGACCAATTCCCAGTTAAATCATCCCAGCCAGGGCTTTGTCAAGCCTGACCTTAAAAACCTCTAAGGAAGGAGATTCTACCACCTCCCTAGGTAACGCATTCCAGTGTTTCACCACCCTCTTAGTGAAAAAGTTTTTCCTAATATCCAATCTAAACCTCCCCCACTGTAACTTGAGACCATTACTCCTCGTTCTGTCATCTCCTACCATTGAGAACAGTCTAGAGCCATCCTCTTTGGAACCCCCTTTCAGGTAGTTGAAAACAGCTATCAAATCCCCCCTCATTCTTCTCTTCTGCAGGCTAAACAATCCCAGCTCCCTCAGCCTCTCCTCATAAGTCATGTGTTCCAGACCCCTAATCATTTTTGTTGCCCTTCGCTGGACTCTCTCCAATTTATCCACATCCTTCTTGAAGTGTGGGGCCCAAAACTGGACACAGTACTCCAGATGAGGCCTCACCAATGTCGAATAGAGGGGAACGATCACGTCCCTCGATCTGCTCGCTATGCCCCTACTTATACATCCCAAAATGCCATTGGCCTTCTTGGCAACAAGGGCACACTGCTGACTCATATCCAGCTTCTCGTCCACTGTCACCCCTAGGTCCTTTTCCGCAGAACTGCTGCCTAGACATTCGGTCCCTAGTCTGTAGCTGTGCATTGGGTTCTTCCGTCCTAAGTGCAGGACCCTGCACTTATCCTTATTGAACCTCATCAGATTTCTTTTGGCCCAATCCTCCAATTTGTCTAGGTCCTTCTGTATCCTATCCCTCCCCTCCAGCGTATCTACCACTCCTCCCAGTTTAGTATCATCCGCAAATTTGCTGAGAGTGCAATCCACACCATCCTCCAGATCATTTATGAAGATATTGAACAAAACCGGCCCCAGGACCGACCCTTGGGGCACACCACTTGATACCGGCTGCCAACTAGACATGGAGCCATTGATCACTACCCGTTGAGCCCGACAATCTAGCCAGCTTTCTACCCACCTTGTAGTGCATTCATCCAGCCCATACTTCCTTAACTTGCTGACAAGAATATTGTGGGAGACCGTGTCAAAAGCTTTGCTAAAGTCAAGAAACAATACATCCACTGCTTTCCCTTCATCCACAGAACCAGTAATCTCATCATAGAAGGCAATTAGATTAGTCAGGCATGACCTTCCCTTGGTGAATCCATGCTGGCTGTTCCTGATCACTTTCCTCTCATGTAAGTGCTTCAGGATTGATTCTTTGAGGACCTGCTCCATGATTTTTCCAGGGACTGAAGTGAGGCTGACTGGCCTGTAGTTCCCAGGATCCTCCTTCTTCCCTTTTTTAAAGATTGGCACTACATTAGCCTTTTTCCAGTCATCCGGGACTTCCCCGGTTCGCCACGAGTTTTCAAAGATAATGGCCAATGGCTCTGCAATCACAGCCGCCAGTTCCTTCAGCACTCTCGGGTGCAACTCGTCCGGCCCCATGGACTTGTGCACATCCAGCTTTTCTAAAAAGTCCCTAACCACCTCTATCTCCACAGAGGGCTGGCCATCTCTTCCCCATTTTGTGATGCCCAGCGTAGCAGTCTGGGAGCTGACCTTGTTAGTGAAAACAGAGGCAAAAAAAGCATTGAGTACATTAGCTTTTTCCACATCCTCTGTCACTAGTTTGCCTCCCTCATTCAGTAAGGGGCCCACACATTCCTTGGCTTTCTTCTTGTTGCCAACATACCTGAAGAAACTCTTTTTGTTACTCTTGACATCTCTGGCTAGCTGCAGCTCCAGGTGCGATTTGGCCCTCCTGATATGATTCTGGGACCTGCCCCCCCCCACGGCAGACAGGGCCATCCGGAACACAGGGGCTCTAGGGCCCTGGGCTAAGGGGGCCCCGGGGCCCTTGCCTGCAGCTCTAAAGCCCCTTTCCGAATGCGACCCTGCAAGCATGGGCTGGAGGACTCAGGAGGAGCAGGGGAAGCCACACAGCCCGAGGCCGGAGAGAAGGGGCGCTTTCCCCTTCAAAGCGCCGCTTCTCTCCGGACGGCTTTGAAGGGGAAAGTGCCGCTTCTTTCTGGTCGCTGGCTGTGCGGCTGCCCCTGCTCCTCCACAGGCCAGAAGACTCAGGGCCGCCCCCCTTTTTTTCCTTCTGGCAGTGCGCCTCCTGCCGCGCCACCCTTTTGCTCCAGCAACGCTCCTCCTGCTGCACCCCCAATCGATCATCTTCCCCTCCCCGGGTGTGCACACCCTACTTTGGAGACCACTGGTCTATAGCACACACCCACCATAACATCACTCTTGTTGTTCTCGCTTCTAAACTTAACTCAAAGACTCTCAACAGGCTTTTCCCCAGTTTCAGACCGGACCTCTAAGCCATCATACTGCTCTTTTCTATACAGTGCAACTCCTCACCTTGTCTCCCCCACCTGTCCTTCCTCAACAGTTTATACCAGTAGGGCGCCAGTCTCTCAGGGGTCACCCCGCATTGCGGGGGCCTAACGCGTCATACCCACCCCTATCCCCATTCCGCCCCTTCACCTACTCCCTCTGCCCCCGCCCGGCATCCGCATCCTCATCCTCTATCTGCCCGAGAGGTCGCGCTGGACCAGGTGTGCGCATGTGTAGCGCTTTGCGTCACAGCTCCTGGCCCCACCCCCTTCGCTCTGGCTCCTGAGCCCGCCCCGTGAGTCCCTTCTCAGGAGGCTGCGCGCGGGAGACCGGTCGGCCGGACGCAAAGCGGCTGAGGGGCGCCTTTGTGTGACGTGGCGGGCGAAGCGGCCGCAGTCCCGGCCTCGGTAATGGGGCGAGTGGCCGGCGTCGCGCGGGCGCTACGGGCGGGCAACGTACTACAGCCCCGTGCGGGCAGCAGCTGCTGGGTCGCCCCTGTCAGCGTCCACCCCCCCTTGGAGTTGCAGCCCCCCCGAGGCAGTGTGCACTGATCCCCCCCACCTCCATATCTTGGCAGTGTGGAGTGCGCCTCGTCCCCCCCCCCCCCCAGGCAGTGTGCAATGCTTCCTCCCCACCCCCATATCTTGGCAGTGTGGAGTGCGCCTCACCCCCCCCCCCCGAGGCAGTGTGCAGTGCTTTCCCCCCCACCCCAATATCTTGGCTGGGTGGAGTGGGGCTCGTCGTCCCCCCTCCCCGAGGCAGTGTGCAATGTTTTCCCCCCCACCCCCATATCTTGGCAGTGTGTAGTGGGCCTCGTCCCCCGCCGAGGCAGTGTGCAGTTCTTCGCCTCCCCCATATCTTGGCAGTGTGTAGTGGGCCTCGTCCCCCCCCCCCGAGGCACTGTGCAGTGCTTTCCCCCCCACCCCCATATCTTGGCAGAATGGAGTTTGCCTCGTCCCCACCCCAGGCAGTGTGCAGTGCTTTCCCCCCATCCCCCTATCTTGGCAGTGTGGAGTGCGCCTCATTCCCCCCCTTCCCCGAGGCAGTGTGCAATGCTTTCACCCCCACCCCCATATCTTGGCAGTGTGCGTTCTTTGTTTGACTTATCAGTTTGCACTAAGGCTTTAGATCTTCTACACCCCTTCTTTGGTCGTTGGCATAGTTTACATCTGCTCCTTGTTGGTGGGGGTTATCTGAATTGTAATTTCTATGCATGCATAAACACCACCCATGCAGTCTCTGTTCCAGACAGCCACCAAATGGTGTTGATTGGTCAGATATTTGTTCTTTGGATTCTTACAGATTAATAAGTATCCCAGTTTATAGATTCTTACAGATCTACCCAATGTCATGGGAGACACACAGACAGGGATCTGATTCTCCATTGCATTGTGCCTTGGAGGGAAGAATCAGGCTTCAGGAGTTTATATGTGGGTACCGTCTCAAGGGCAAGATGCAGGGGAAAAGCAGGCTTGAGCTGTGGGTAGAATCTGTGAAAAAGACCAATTATGTCATGTGCAGCATAAGGGCTGAGGGTGTATGTCCTCAGGAAGCAGCACATGACTTGGTGCATTAAACATGAAGCTCTGTCCTTCAGTGAAAACTGCTTTGAAGGACCTTTAGAGCACATTATAACACATGCATTTCTCAATGAAAGACATGATATATCATCAAAAACAACGAGGAGTCCTTGTGGCACCTTAGAGACTCACAAATTCACTTGGGCATAAGCTTTCATGGGCTAGAACTCACTTCATCAGATGCATGGAGTGGAAAATACAGTAGCAGGTATAAATACACAGCACATGAAAAGATGGGAAATTAGTATGGGGGAAATTAGAATCATAGAATATCAGGGTTGGAAGGGACCTCAGGAGGTCATCTAGTCCAACCCCCTGCTCAAAGCAAGACCAATCCCCAACTAAATCATCCCAGCCAGGGCTTTGTCAAGCCTGACCTTAAAAACTTCTGAGGAAGGAGATTCCACCACCTCCCTAGGTAACGCGTTCAGTGTTTCACCACCCTCCTAGTGAAAAAGTTTTTCCTAATATCCAACCTAAACCTGCCCCATTGCAACTTGAGACCATTACTCCTTGTTCTGTCATCTGCTACCACTGAGAACAGTCTAGAGCCATCCTCTTTGGAACCCCCTTTCAGGTAGTTGAAAGCAGCTATCAAATCCCCCCTCATTCTTCTCTTCTACAGACTAAACAATCCCAGTTCCCTCAGCCTCTCCTCATAACTCATGTGTTCCAGTCCCCTAATCATTTTTGTTGCCCCTCGATCTGCTGGCAATGCCCCTACTTATACATCCCAAAATGCCATTGGCCTTGGCAGTCCAGAACTCAAGTTGTTTTGCTCCATAATGGGAAGAATGAAAGTGGTTGCTTCTGGATTTCTCAGATTGGGTCCCCAGCTTGAGAGAAAATCTGTCAGGATGGAAGGGTTGCTGTTCAAGATAAACGCCAGGGGTCAGATGCACTGAAGGGTCGTACCAGCACAGCTGAGCATTGGTGAGGGCCATTTCTGCAGGGAAACTAACAGGAACTTTTTGGTCATAATCTTTTGGGTGATTTTTTTTACCCCCACCCAGTTTTTCTTTTCATGCCATTTTAGGAGTCTGGGTCCTGCTCTGGGCAACAAAGCCTGTGAAAAGGCAAGAAGCCCTTTCCCTCAGAATTTCCCCCTCGGCCCCTGCACTCGATGTAGAATTGACCACTCCTGAGAACTCAGGATGTCTGGTGTGGATTACACGCACATACCCACCATTACATGTGACATGCCCCACATTTCCCTGGTGTTCAAGACCATGAGCTCAAGGGAGTGGGAGGAGCCCACCTCCATCATGTCCCTCATCTTGTATAATGAATGGCACCACATCCCACTAGGCTGTGCTCTGCCCCCAGGGAAGGCAATGGAGCAACAGCTGAGGATCCTGGCCCAGATGTCCCCAAGGGGAATAAAGCGGTGCACCCCACCTCCCTAACCTTTGGCATATGGAGCAGGAAGGGGGTGTGGCTGAGGTACTGCTGCAAGCTCCAGCCAGTCATGTCCAGCACATTGAGAGTGGGAGAGCAAGGGGAGAAGGGGGGAGGACGTCCAAGTCCTGCACATATCAGCCCAGGGAAGCAGGGAGATATGACACCCTCCCTGCTCCCCTCAACCCCCACCTCGTGTAGATCTTGTAGTAGGAGATTCCAGCCAGTATGTGATCTTTGGCAACTGAAATGAGCTGTAGCTCACGAAAGCTTATGCTCAAATAAATTGGTTAGTCTCTAAGATGCCACAAGTCCTCCTTTTCTTTTTGCATATTCTGAGTGTACCAGGCTATGGGTGCAGTACTGCTGGCCCCGCTGCAGCCTGGCCGGCTTCTCCCCACACAGTTCCCTACCCACACTGGGTGCTCGTGCATGCAACAGAGTCAGACGTGTCTGTTGTGAGGGGGCTGGCATTCCCACCATTCTTCCTGAGCCAACAAAGGGAAGCGCCAGTGACACAGATGCCAGCTTTACTGTCAGTGTGGCAAGGTGCCCTGGGCCATGGGGTGGCTGACATGGACTTGGGCAAGGTAGGGAGGGCAGCGTGTACCCCAGCAAATGCCAGCAGTCAAGAATAGGCAGGATATCTCCTTGACTACATGTGCTGCGCAGCAGTGCCAGCAGCAGCTGAGGCCTGCCCCCTGTCTTGTGCCCCAGCAGGATCCCACTACTGTCCCTGTGAGCACTGAGCCAATGGCCTAAGGATGAGTTTTGATTTAGTTGGGGATCGGTCCTGCCTTGAGCAGGGGGCTGGACAAGACGACCTCCTTATGACCTCCTAATGACCCATCCACTCCCAATCTTTACAAAACCTAATTTCCGTCATACTAATTTCCCCCTACTGTTACTCACACCTTCTTGTCAACTGTTTGAAATGGGCCACTCATTACCAGTACAAAAGTGATTTTTCCTCCCTTAGTATCCTACTGTTAATTGAATTGTCTCGTTAGACTGACCTCCCACTTGGTATGGCAACTCCCATCTTTTCATGTGTTATGTATTTATACCTGCTGCTGTATTTTCCATTCCATGCATCCGATGGAGTGGGTTCTAGCCCATGAAAGCTTATGCCCAAATAAATTTGTGAGTCTCTAAGGTGCCACAAGGACTCCTCGTTGTTTTTGCGGATACAGACTAACACGGCTACCACTCTGAAACATGATATATCATGTATATTTCATTGGGAATTTCCAGTAATACTAGAAGCTTTGGTTTCCCTCCTACTTAAGTCTGGATTTTCCTAGATATTAGATGGGTTGATTGTGTGCAAAATATAATGATGATGCTGAAACTATCCTATCTGCAAATATGAACAACCTTTTACTCCCTAAGGGAGCTAGGTTTTCCCTATAGTTCTGCCTCCATAAAGAACAGTAGCAAGTCAGTTAGTTGAAAAATCTAGTTTTTTATGCATACAGGAATCATAGAATCATAGAATAACAGAGTTGGAAGGGACCTCTGGAGGCCATCTAGTCCAACCCCCTGCCCAGAGCAGGACCAATCCCAATTAAATCATCCTAGCCAGCGCTTTGTCAAGCCTGACCTTAAAAACTTCTAAGGAAGGGGATTCCACCACCTCCCTAGGTAACGCATTCCAGTGTTTCACCACCGTCCTAGTGAAAAAGTTTTTCCTAATATCCAACCTAAACCTCCCCCACTGCAACTTGAGACCATTACTCCTTGTTCTGTCATCTGCTATCACTGAGAACAGTCTAGATCCATCCTCTTTGGATCTCCCTTTCAGGTAGTTAAAAGCAGCTATCAAATCCCCCCTCATTCTTCTCTTCCGTAGACTAAACAATCCCAGTTCCCTCAGCCTCTCCTCATAACTCATGTGTTCCAGTCCCCTAATCATTTTTGTTGCCCTTCGCTGGACTCTCTCCAGTTTCTCCACATCCTTCTTGTAGTGTGGGGCCCAAAATTGGACACAGTACTCCAGATGAGGCCTCACCAATGTCGAATAGAGGGGAACGATCACGTCCCTTGATCTGCTGGCAATGCCCCTATTTATACACCCCAAAATGCCATTGGCCTTCTTGGCAACAAGGGCACGCTGTTGACTCATATCCAGCTTCTTGTCCACTGTCACCCCTAGGTCCTTCTCTGCAGAACTGCTGCCTAGCCATTCGGTCCCTAGTCTGTAGCGGTGCATTGGATTCTTCCGTCCTAAGTGCAGGACTCTGCACTTGTCCTTGTTGAACCTCATCAGATTTCTTTTGGCCCAATCCTCCAATTTGTCTAGGTCCCTCTGTATTCTATCCCTACCCTCTAGCGTATCTACCACTCCTCCCAGTTTAGTGTCATCTGCAAACTTGCTGAGGGTGCAATCCACACCATCCTCCAGATCATTAATGAAGATATTGAACAAAACCGGCCCCAGGACCGACCCTTGGGGCATTCCGCTAGATACCAGCTGCCAACTAGACATGGAGCCATTGATCACTACCCGTTGAGCCTGACAATCTAGCCAACTTTCTACCCACCTTGTAGTGCATCCATCCAGCCCATACTTCTTTAACTTGCTGAAAAGAATACTGTGGGAGACCGTGTCAAAAGCTTTGCTAAAGTCGAGGAATAACACGTCCACTGCTTTCCCTTCATCCACAGAACCAGTTATCTCATCATAGAAGGCAATTAGATTAGTCAGGCATGACTTTCCCTGGACCTGAAGAGCAGCAGGAAGAATTGAAACTGTGTGTTAATCCTCTGTTTGCATTTCAGGGCAACCATGACAGTTTCCTCTCTCGTCCAGCTTCGTTTGGTTTGGTGCTGTTGGACCCTACCAAGATGGCAGATGAACGGCCATAAGAGATTCTTGGCAGTGTGGACCAGTGCTACTGCTAAGTGGACACTTAAGCAGAAGAAACTAGCAGAGCTATACAGGATACCAGTGTCCAGGCCACCCATCCTATCGGGCACCAGTCTGCTGGGCAAGGGAGCTCTCTCTACAACCTCCATCAGCCCCAAGGAAGTGATGCTGACTAGTGAGCGGTATGGTGTTCAGAGGCTGCCCTTCTCTCATGTTTCTGATAGTGATTTAGCTTTTTTTGAGCACCTTATACCTGGTAGAGTCATCACAGACCCAGATGAACTGAGACTGTTTAATGTGGACTGGCTGCAGTCAGTCCGAGGTAGGTGTTTTAACATTTTGACACACCCTACCCCCTTTTCACCATGATTAGCAGTATGAAAAATCTGTAGGCAGAAACATCAACTCTGGTGCCAAGTTTGTGCTGCTACTTACTTATACAAATCCTACAGAATCAAGTTTGGTTATTAGAGCTGGTTGAAATTTTTATTTCAAAAATACTTTCCTATTAATTTTTTTGGGTCAAAACTCTCATTTTTGTCAGAATTTTTCATTGGAACAAAAAATATTTCCCAATCAGCTCTTTTGGTTAACTGTTAAATTATGTTTTTGTTTACATATACCCAAAGTTTTACCTTGCTTTTGAAATAGTTCATTTATAGTGAAATTCATCCACTAAGCAGTCAATTATGTTTTATTTTTTTCTTTTAGAGTATGGTATCCATCTTAAAAATAAGGGTGTTCATTTGAAATCTTCAGATAGTCAAATCTTCCTTTGATTATCCTCAAGATGGAGCTATTGGATGTTGTCCCTGAAAATTAGTCTAAAAATGCAAGGGTGCCTGTAGATATGTGAGAGCTCTATAAAGTACTTACCTTGTATCATCATTAAACTCACTGACCCAGTGAGTATTTAGAGCAAGGTGTTAAAATACCCTACAGTAGGGTATTATTCTTCAGTCTTCAACACAGCTAACTTATTTTTGAGAGAGTGATTGTTATTGGAGTTTTCGTGTCTCTTATTTATTCTCTTAGCATGGAAAATGGCATACGTTTTTCATGGTTGCCAATGCCAAGGCAATGAAGCAGAACACCAGACTGAGCAGAGCTAATTTAGGAAATTTAAGATTTGTCTCTGTGGAGCAGACCAATGATTAGGGCCCTAACACATTCATGATCCATTTTGGTCATTTCATGATCATAGGATTTTTAAAATCATAAGTTTCATGATTTCAGCTATTTAAATATAAAATTTCATGGTGTTGTAATTGTAGGCATCTTGACCCAAAAAGGAGTTGTGTGTGTGTGTGTGTGTGTAAAAGATTATTGTAGGGGGTGTTGCGGTACTGCTATCCTTACTTCTGTGCTGCCTTCAGAGCTGGAGAGCGGTGGCTGCTGGCCAGGATCCCAACTCTGAAGGCAGAGCCACCACCAGCAGCAGCGCAGAAGTAAGGATGGCAAGGTGTGGTATTGCCACCCTTCTTCTGCTCTGCTGCCTGCAGCGCTAAACCTTCAGTCAGTAGCCGCCACTCTCTGGCTGCCCAGCTCTGAAGGCTGCAGTGCGGAAGGTTGACATGGTATGGTATGTCACCCTTACTTCTGCACTGCTGATGGTAGGGTACTGCCTTCAGAGCTGAGCACCCAGCCAATAGCTGCCACTCTGCAGCCACCCAGCTCTGCAGGTAGCATAGAAGTAATAGTGGCAGTACTGTGACCCCCCGTAAAATAACCTTCCAACCCCTAGAAACTCCCTTTTGGGTCAGGACCCCCAATATGAGAAACACTGGTCTCCCCCCATGAAATCTGTATAGTATAGGGTAAAAGCACACAAAAGACCAGATTTCACGGGAGGAGACCAGATTTCACGGTCCGTGACACGTTTTTGATAGCCGAGAATTTGGTAGGGCCTTACCAGTGATTTACCTCATTATGAACCCTGCTTTTTCTAGCAGACTATGTGTACAGTACTTCAGGGAGAGGTGAAAGTCACCCATTATTACATCTGGCCAATTATCCAAGTTCTTCTGTGGGAAAAAATCCAGTCACATGAGAGCTGGTATTTGCCAAAACTATTGCCATTTAATCTCTTTTATTTTCTGACCATCTCATGTCCTCACCATAGCAACGTACTCTGACTAATTGTAAAATGAGAATAATGATATTTACCTCTTTAGTAAAGTGCTTGGAAAGCATAGATAAAAAACACTATATAAGAGCTCGGTATTATTCCTGTTATTATAGGACTGCTCCCTTTGCAGCCGATCAATGTCATTTCTGATCAGTGAGTTTGGTTACTATTGGAGCATTGCAGGAACATGTTTCTTCCATGATTTTTCCTGTGCTCCTAGACCAAGGAACAAGTAACCTCACCTCATAATTGAACCTCATGGTGCAGGTGGCCCTGGCATGTTCTGTTGCCACTAGTGTCAGAAATACCAAAAGATGTCAGGTTTTTCTTTTTGGCCACAGTCTTTGCTTCAGATTGATTTTACCATACCTTACTTCCATTGCAGGCTGCAGTACTATGTTGCTGAGGCCACGGACAGCAGCAGAGGTATCTGAGATTCTCAGGTAATTTACATCTTTTTAACTGATCTTTGCTACTTAGTGCTTCTGTTTTATTATCTCTGAATTCTGTCTTTGCTCTGTTCTACTAACTTTCTCATTATATCATTTGACATTGATACCAGATTTAATCAAGAAACCAGGTAATGTGCATGAATGAGCAAAATCCAGTCTAACTATAAAAGCTAGACCAAGAGAGCTTTCAAATGGTTAGGAAAGGTAATGGGTTCCTAACTAGCAATGTGATCACTGAGAACAAGTAACAAATATTATAAATGCCAAATGGGAAACATCTGGCTTCTCAGGTCCACACACCTGTGGCCCTGATTAGAAAATACTAAGTAGTAGAGTGTGTGTGTGCAGCGGGGGGGGGTTTAGAGGGCGACGTCTCATCACTAGTGATTTCTCTGCTCCACTGAACTGACCTAATTGGAAACAGTGCCAATAGTAGGAAGGGACCACCCTCGGAAGGTCACAACAAGCTCAGGCTGAAGGAGAAAAATAGCCAAAGGGGAAAAAGGAGATTAGGAGAACAAAAGGAAGATAAAATAAGAGATTCAAAATAAATCCTCCCAGAGAAACCTTGAGCCTGATCCCAGCTTCAAACAGCTCCTGAACCTGAAGATCTGATTCTATATCTTTTGAAGTCAATGACAATACTTTCCTAGGTGTCACTGGGTGTAGAATCGAGCCCTAATTTAGCAGCAGTACACAGGCTCACCACTTGGTGGTTCAGACAGTTAAAAAGGTTGATCATATTTTACAACAGTGTATGAGCCCAATACCAGGTGTGTTACAACAAAATGTAAAGTGACCCTAAAACCTTCTACCATCAAGATCTGCATTTTTGAAATATTTTCTAGTACACTGCAGCTTTGTACACTTAATACAACTGGAACTTGCAGGATTCAGGATATCTCTTGGTTCAGCAACAAAAGAACACCATATTTTCCGAGTTCTAAAAGGTTTTAGAGGCGATTTTTAAAGTCCATTAGTTACAAGAGAAACTAAAAATATTTTTACATAACTACATAGTCCTTATCCTGAGATGCATCACAGCTGTGTAAGAACTGGTTGTGGCACTTTACCTTCTTGAAGGCCCCTTGTTAGTAAACAGCTGTTCCTGATAGTATCCTGTATTCCCTCTAAGAGTCTGAATTGGCCTTCTGTTCTTGGTCCTTTCTTAATCCTCCACCCTGTACGTGTGTATGAGGTCTAAGCAGGGAATTAACTTAGACTGCAATTTTGGAATTAGATTGTAAGCTCTGTGGGGCAGAGACCTGTCTTTTTACTTGTTCTGTAAGATGTCCTGCACACACCCATAGTTCTCTATAAATAAGGCTACGATGAGGTCACAGAAGTCGCGGATTCCATGACTTCCATTGACCTCCATGACATTTTCTAACCTGGGGCTAGAGCTCCCAGCCAGCCCTGCCCCCACAGCTCCCAGCCTTCACCCTGGTGGGGGGGACTCCTTAGCTGCCCAGCTGTGGCAAGTGGCCGGCGGATCCTGCAGCTGCCTAGCCGTGGCAGGGGGCCCCCTGCAGCTGCCCAGCCGCAGGTCGGAGAACTCCCTGCAGCTGCCCAGCAGGCAGTGGGTGGCCGACAGATGCTGCAGTTGCCCGGTGGCGGGGGAACTCCCCGCTGCTGCCCAGTCCCATGGGCAGGGGGACCCTGGAGCTCCCACACACCGCTGCGCTGGGGGACACGGAGCCCCAGCAAAACCAAAGAAATGAAAATCCCATGTGATGAGGTGGAAAGAACATGCAGCAGTGTGATAGAGATTTGCTAACAAAGGCAGCCTCATGAAGAATTAGTTTCTAAAAGGAATTGACGACTGTTGGGAGTAAAAATATTGTATTGGTCCTACATTTATATTCCTTTATTCAAGGCCTATTGGCATCAGCAGGAGTTGTGTTTTCTCACTCGCTATCTGAAACTGGCCCTTCATCTCAAATTCAGTTTTTAGGACTGAAATAATTAGTGTTGATGAGGACAACCGATTCATCCAACTGCACATGTGCATGTGAGAACAAATCTCCCAGAGGCATGCAGAAGGGAGGTGGGGCATGGCTCTGAGCAGTGTGACCTTTGAACAATGTGTTCCCTTTCAGGTATTGTAACAAAAGGAACTTGGCGGTAAACCCCCAGGGAGGTAACACTGGCCTTGTGGGGGGCAGCGTTCCTGTCTTTGATGAGATTATTCTCTCCACAGCTCTGATGAACCAGGTCATCAGCTTTAACAGTGTGTCTGGTAAATATATTTCTTCTAATGTAAAAGGGCTCATCTTTTAGTCCTCTGAATCCTGCCCTCCTTCTGAGAGGTGCTTAGTGTAGTATCAGCAGGGATCCAGACCAGAAGCACCACGAGGAGGCAGCAGGGGCTTCCTGAATCCAGGATTCTTCTGATGTTGTTTCTGATAGTACATGGAGACTGGGGGAAGGAAAAGGAGTACCTGAACTCATCCCAGTATCTGTTTAAGAAATCCGTATGGGATACTATCTGGATCTGATAGTAAAGGGTAGGACATAAATTACAGCTGTATTGAAGAAAGGATCTGCCAGGTTTATGGCCAGTCTGCACTGGCATTTGTGGAGGAGAGAAATGGGAAAAGTATGCATATGTGGTTGGACTTGGGGAATGAGAAAACCTCTGGTTGATGTGAACATTAAAGTTCTTAAAAAGTTGCAGTAAGGGAAAATTAAAGGGAGAGAAATATTTGGTACCCCGGTGTTCCAGACACCAATCCAGGACCTTTGCCTCCTGAAGTCAGTGTCAAAACTCCCACAGACTTCAGAAGGAGGGAGATAGAGCCATGACAAGAGTTGTTTTTGATTTGAATTGTACCATCAGGGTAGAAGTTTTGGAGAAAGAGGAGGTCCTAATTGCTTACCGCTGTCCTGCCTCTTTAGGAGACCATTTCTGTGTGTCAAATTGTAGCTTGATTCTTTTGTTTTCAGGAATCCTTGTTTGCCAGGCTGGCTGTATTTTAGAGAACCTGAACACGTATCTTGAGGAGCTGGACTTCATCATGCCACTTGACCTTGGGGCAAAGGGCAGCTGCCACATTGGTGGTAATGTGGCAACAAATGCAGGAGGCCTGAGGCTGTTGAGGTACGGCTCTCTCCGAGGGACAGTTCTGGGACTGGAAGTGGTAAGATGAGTGTCTTGTAGCTGCTTTCTGTATCTGAACTTCTTTCCATCCTGTATCCTGCCACCATCCTGTTTTTATATTCCTGTTATTCTAGAAATGTACATCACGACACCAAGCTGGGAGAGGTTGCAAGCACTTTGGAGAATGGGATTAAAATTTAAAATGACCTTGACAAATTCAAGAATTAGTCAGAAATCAACAAGATGAAGTTTAATAAAGACAAGTACAAAGTACTATGCTTAGAAACGAAAAATCAAATGCACAACTACAAAATGGGGCATAATTAGTTCGGTGGTAGTACTGCTGAATAGAATCGGCGGTTATAGTGGATCACTAATTGCATACGAGTTAACAGTGTGATGCAGTTGTGAAAAAGGCTAATGTAATTCTAGGGTGTATTAACAGGAGTGTGCTATGTAAGACATGGGAAGTAGTTGTCCTGCTCTATTCAGCACTGGTGAGGCCTCAGCTGGAGTACTGTGTGTCTAGTTGTCGGCCCACACTTTGAGAGAGGTGGACAAACTGGAGAGAGTCCAGAGCTAAATTCCCCTGTAAGCTGTGCAGCACTGCAGGCTATCAAGGCCCGCTGGAGCTTCTGGGGAGAGAAGTCCCTCACCCAGCCCAGGCCCGCTGGAACGGCCGCAGCCGGGAAGAGGAGCCCTTCCCCTGGCCCAGCCCAGACCCACTGGAGCTGCTGAGGAGAGGAGCCCTTCACCCGGCCCAGGCCCGCCAGAACTGCCACAGCCGGGGAGAGGAGCCCTGGCCCAGTCCAGGCCCGCTGGAGCTGTCATGGAGAGGATCCCCTCCCTTGGCCCAGCCCAGAGTTGCCAGGGAGAAGAGCCCCTCCCCCAGCCCAGGCGTGCCAGAGCAGCCGCAGCCAGGGAGAAGCGCCTCTCACCTGGCGCTGAGCTGCAGCAGAGAGAGAGGGCTGGGAGGAGTCCTCTCTCCCTGCCGCAGCCCCAGGGCAGCCTGAACCCCAAACCCCTCATCCCTGGCCCCATCCCAAAGCATTCATCCCTAATTGGAGCAGTCACCCCCTGCACCCAACTCTCTGCCCCACCTCTGAGCCCCCCTCCCGGACCCCTCATCCCCAGCCCCACCTCAAAGCCCGCACCCCTAGCCAGAGCCCTCACCCCCCCTCCACACCCCAACCCTCTGCCCTAGCCCTGAGCCCCCTCCCACACTCCAAAGCCCTCGGTCCCACCCCCACCATGCATCAGCTCCATATTGGTGCACATTACAAAATTCATTCTGCACATGGATCTAAAAAATTAGAGAGAACAGTGCTCTCCTCTGGACCAACAAAAACGATAAAAAGGTTTAGATAACCTGGACTATGAGAAAAGGTTAAAAAACTGGGCATGTTTAGTCTTGAGAAGAAAAGGCTGAGAGGGGAACCTGATAAGTCTTCCAGTATGTTAAGGGCTGTTATAAAGGGGACTGTGATCAATTCCCCATGTCCACTGAAGGGAGGACAAGAAGTAATGGGTGTAATGTCAGATTTTGGTTGGAGTTAGAAAGTTTTTCCTCCTCTCTAAGGGTAGTTAAGCACTAGAAAAGGCTTCCAAGAGAGGTTGTGGAATCCCTTGTTGTCTAGCCTGTTCTTAAAACCCTTCAAACACCTGTCAGGGATGGTCTAGGTTTACCTGTGTGATGGGTTGCCCTTGGGATGCTGCCTGGAACTGGGGTACCACTAAGCCCTCTGATCCACCAGCCTGGGCTCCCTCTCACACTTAACTGCTGTGACAAGCTGCAAAGCCATCCAGCCTGCACTTTCACCAGCATTCACACAGGTAGAGACACACCCAGCTGCAGTTACAGGCAGACTTTCTAACCACCAGCTTCCCAGCCTAGGACTACAGACCAGTACCGTCTTGCCCTGGTCAAATCTGGCCAGTATATGGGTTTAACACTCGGTCTGTGTCTCCCTCAATGTGAAGAGGACCATGCACACTTGTGGAAACCAAGATGAGATTTTCCCTAGACACCTTAATCAAATGTACACTGTTTTGGATTAAAACATAAAATATGTTTATTAACTACAAAAGATAGATTTTAATTGATTATAAGTGATAGCAAACAGATCAAAGCAGATTATGCAGTAAATAAAAATGCAAACTGAGTTTAACATACTAAATAGGTAGGATATGGATTGGCAGATTCTCACCCTGAGTGATAAACAGGCTGGCAGATTCTTAAGGCACAAGCTGCCTTTGCTTAGCAGCTTCGGTTTCCCAAGTTTTCATACATAGCTAGAAATCCCTTTAGCCTGGGACCATCACTTCCCCCAGTTCAGTCTTTGTTCCTCAGGTGTTTTCATGTGCACAGGTTGTTATAGGGAGAGTGAGGTACCTTCATGTTGTCATTTCCCCCTTTTATATCTTTTTTTCTACTTGCTGGAAAGTTCTTTTGCTGTGACCTGGGTCCAAACAGTAGTGCTGTCTCTGAGAGGTTTCTGTTGTACACAGCTCCTGGGGTAATCCTTGTGTTTGTGTGCGTTTCCTCAATAAGCCATTAACATTGTTTGGTCTTTTTATTGTTGTACCTGAAAGGTTGCTTGTGGCTGTTTTCACAACATGTTTCAGTAACACATACCTAGCCAAATTTCATAACTTCACATACAATGGTAGCACATATAATCCAATGAGAGATTAATGTCTATCAGATCAAGACTTTTAGAATGGTACCTCACAAGGCATACTTTGTGCAAAACATATCCTAATTATGTGATGGTGAATAAGAGGGTGCCAGGGTGTCACAACTTGGTCCTGCCTCAGCACAGGGGGCTGGACTTGATGATTTTTGAGGTTACTTCCTGCCCTACATTTGAGTGGTTCTGTGCTGTCAGATTCTCCAGATTTCCAGACATCCTTAATATGTTACTTTCCTAGCTCTCCTGAATAGTGTTGTTAAAAGACTTTACATGAGTATTTTTTGATACAGAGATATTTTAAAAGTTAACTCTCAACCTCCTATTTTAACCATTGTCTTACTGGTAACATCCAATGATGTTAGATGGCCTTGTAGTGCTAAGAAGTGGGGAGAGAGCTCTTTTAGTTAAAACTTGGAAATTGTAACTTTGTACCTCTGCTTACAGAGATCCTACCTGTAGCTATCTCTTAGTGGCCGCTTGCTATATAATCTTAAAACCAGCAGGGAACTGGGCTTATTTAGTCTGCAGAGGAAAAGAGTGAGGGGGGATTTGATAGCAGCCTTCAACTACCTGAAGGAGGGTTCAAAAGAGGATGAAGCTAGGCTGTTCTCAGTGGTGGCAGATGACAGAACGAGAAGCAATGGTCTCAAGTTGCAGTGAGGGAGGTCTAGATTGGATATTAGGAAAAAACTATTTCACTAGGAGGGTGGTGAAGCACTGGAAGGGGTTATCTAGGGAGGTGGTAGAATCTCCATCCTTAGAGGTTTTTAAGGCCCGGCTTGACAAAGCCCTGGCTGGGATGATTTAGTTGGTGTTGGTCCTGCTTTGAGCAGGGGGTTGGACTAGATGACCTCCTGAGGTCTCTTCCAACCCTTTAATCTTCTATGATACAGGGCTGAGGCAGACAACGTGCATGGAAAATATCAGCGCAAACCGTTAAGGTCTGGCAAAATACGTCGTGCTACCAGCCTATTAATGAAGTTCACTTAAAACACAGAAAAGTGTTGGCTGAATGCCTTATAGTTCTATTACGTTGTAAAATAGTCTGCTTACTTTTGGAAGTCCTGGTGTTTGGAACATTTAAAGATAGACTGAAAAATTCACTAGTATGTTTGTTGTAAAGAACAGTATTGGCAGGAGAAAGGATTACATGACACAGGTGGTCTTTTTCATCTCTAATGTGTCTGAGAAGTCAAGGCAATCTTTAACTAGAGCATACCTGTTAGAAACCCATCCAATCTTGGTTTAAGGACTCAAATGATGGAGAACTTACTACTTCTGATGATTAATTACCCTCACTGTTTTAAAACTGGCACTTTACTTTCATTGGTTACATCAGCTGTCCTAAGCTAAACTCTATGTACTGTGGCTGATTATGTCCATTGGAGAAAGATCACTGATTGGTATGAAAAACATTTCTGTTCTTATTGGTGTAACTGTTCCTTGCTTTACATGAGACACATGAGCAGAGCATGTAAGGAAGAGAGGAATTTGATGGAGCAAAATGGGCAGGATGTAGATGAGAGAGAGCCTTGGACGGGGAGAGCTATGTGGAAGAAGTGATAGGGAAAAAGCGTGGGGAGGGACAACAACTGGAGAAGGAAAAAAGAATATAACCACTTTGCAGCACTGAGGGGTAGAGCCCTGCAAATCTGTGGATATCTGCAGATTATTTTTATGGATCAGATGTATCCATGCAGGGCTCTCTTGAGAGGTTTGCTGCAGCTTCTGATCATCTTATCTCTTCACACCAGCTCATCACCTGTGTGTATTTATGTAATTGGAAATGAAGGGTTTATCAGTATTGTTTCTTTGTCCTCTGCCAGGTCTTGGCTGATGGCTCCATTCTGAACTGCTTGGCTTCTCTGCGGAAGGATAATACTGGCTATGATTTGAAGCAGCTTTTCATTGGGTCAGAGGGGACTTTGGGGGTCATTACTGCTGTCTCTATCCTCTGTCCACGGAAACCCAAGTCTGTGAATCTGGCCTTCCTAGGTAGGCTCTGTCCCTCTCTCACTCTTCAGCTGTGGTGTTGGTAACCAGAAACAATATGCAATGCTGTTCATACAGTATCAGAGGACCAAGAGATTGATTTGGGGTATATTACTGGAGATGAAGCTGTCCAGTGATCCTGGGGGCTGTTATTTAATAACTTTACTGCTGAAACCAGTGACAGAAGAAGCAGGGAAAGAATGAGAATTGAGAGAGTCACAAGTTAGTAAACTGCTGTAAACCACCAACTTGATTTTATTTCTAATAACAAAATATTTGAGAGAGTTTGGTGGTGTGTATTAAAATACTTGTGGTCACGGATTTAGCAAAACTCTCTTATCTGTGGTATTCCCAAGGGACCTGTCACCATGCCATTTGAGCTTTAGCTTAGCTCTGGCAGGCAAAATGTCATTCTCAGGAAAATGGTAGGTAGAAGTAGAGAAGGGAAGGGATCCAGTGCTTAGCTGTACTGGTTATATTTTGCCTCACCACTTCCTTGCTTCACCACCCTTCTGGCCCAGATAATTAGGGAATAGGGAAATGGTGCCCTAAGTATCTTGATAGGATCCAAGGTGTCCTGTTTGCTAAAAATCATTGGTATGAAAAAGACCAGTCAGGTAAGAGGTGTACTTGCATGGTCTACTCTAAACATTTACCATCACAAACATTTCTAACCGCGTTCTGTGTAGCATACATCATTAATTATTTACTGGACCCTGGACAAACTATTTTGAGCCAGGTAATATTTTTTAGTATATTAGCAGTTTTAATTTTTTCTGTGTTTGTTGTCTGTGGAAAGGTTGTCAGAGTTTCTCTCAAGTTCTTGGAACTTTCACTACCTGCAAAGGCATGTTGGGAGAGATCCTGTCTGCATACGAATTCATGGATGACAAGTGCATGAAATTGGTTGAGAGCCACCTCAAACTGTCCAAACCAGTGACAGGTACTAGAATTAATGTACTGTGCATAGACAGGTGATCTGGAGTATAAGGCTTTGCTATGAACCCAGGTATCTTGATGTTTTATTGTGCTGTGGAAAAAGACCTAATATCTTCTGGGGATTTCTTTTGGGAGGAGGTAGGGAATGGTGGGCTAAATACTTAGTTGATCTAAAGAAAGGTCTCTCCAAAGGTGAGAAGGGAGTCCAGTATCCAGGTTAACTGAGGTCTGGACTTCCCCACACGGTTCCACCACTGCACTCCAACCTTGCCAAGGAGCAGCTAGTCTTCTGCTAGGGCAAGAGAAGCGTTTAGCCTACATGTTCAGTTATTAAGGGGTCTCTCCAGAGATAGCAAAAAGACAGTTTTTCATAGGGACTATGTCTGGTCCTGTGGAGTAGGAAGGAGACAGCAACCTAATAAATAGACTGAATAAATTCCAGTAACATTGTAACAATTTATCACTGAGCAAACTTCCCTGTCTCCCCAGCTTAGTCATTCTGAGACATTCAAACAAACATCACATGAATCATAATTTTTTGTATTATTGGGGGGGGGGTGTATTTTATTTTAAGTTATTGGCCCCATCGCAACAGCAGCTGCTACAATAAAGAGTGATTAAAACAAGGGCAGTGCATAGAGCAACTGATGTAGCATCAAGGCTATAGAGTAACAGAGAGCGATTCCTCAGAGGGAACCTACGTGAAATGCAGCAGGAAAGTGCATCCTTCCAGAATTTTGGACTTTATTTACATTGGTTAACTTGAAGGAAGCAGTAGATTAGCTGCATGCCTTGTAGCAGAGTTTATTTCCATACAGATGGATAGTATCACTCTGAAATACTCACTTTCAAACACAAAGCAGATACTCTGACAAGATCAAAAATATTTGCAGAATTTCCAACTGTCGAGGACATCGCATCCATTGTGCTCTGTCTAGAGCTCTGTGCGCTCTAGCCAATGCAGAGTGCAGAGCAGCTGTTCATGAGGGGGTCTTCCCACATATCACAGCTCTGGAGGCATTCCCAGCTATTTCAGTCCTGCCTTGGCCAGCAGAATTCCTATAGGGAATGGTGAAAGGATGCTGAAGCTTGGGAAGATCAGTTATCTCAGCCCTCTACCTTATACAAAAGGAGTCACTGTAGAGAATGTTGCTTTATTTTTAACCCACTGACTTCTCAAGATGACCTTTTAATCGTCTGAATTAAATCCCTATCTTCTACTGGCTGTTCTCTTTTTCTGTCCTCTCTCATTTCCAGGAAGCCCCTTTTATATTTTAATTGAAACATCAGGCTCCAATTCTGCCCATGATGAAGAAAAGCTGAACAATTTCTTGGAACATGTCATGGCCTCTGGTTTGGTGACAGATGGGACTGTGGCCACAGAGGATAAGAAAATAAAGGTGATTCCCTGTCCTACACAAACACTCATGGAATAATTCTCTATTTGGGTTTGTACTTTACACTGATGAATGGTTAAACAATTTGTTCTGTGGCTTAGGAGTTCCCAAGTCTCCTGACATCAGGAGGACAAGCTGTAGCTTGGTTTATGTGGTGAAACATATGCCAACAATTTTTTTGGCTGTTTTTAAATGTTCTGCCAATATTTTCCTCATAGCCCTCTCTTATGGTGTTAATGAGGAGGTGCTGAATCTTCTTTCTCTAGGCATGCAATTTTGCTTGAGCACAAAGTAGTAGAGAAATTCCTCATTTCCTTAGCCAGCAAAACAAAACAATAGAGAGAGGCTGACAGGTGATGGAGTAGAATAACCCTATTCCTCTTTAGAAGTGGGAAGATTTGCAGTGCTGGACAACACCTTGACCCTCACTTCCTTGGAATATGTTACAGTGGTGTGTATAGTGGAAGATCTTGTGTTGGACTGGACTCTCAGTCTCAGCAGCATGTTGCACTCATGTATGGGAAGCAAACTTTGAGTACTAGCATAGAGCTGAGATGATTATTATTTACATTATAGTAGCACCTAGGGTCCTGTATTAGGGCCCTATTGTGCCAAGCACTGTATCAGCACATAATAGAGATGCCACCGTCCCAAGGAGTTTACAATTTAAATACAAGACAAGAGACAACAGATAGATACAGCAAACCAACAGGAGAGCACAAGGAAACAATGAGACACTCCTGGTCAGTATGATAAGTAGTGGTCATTGCACACCAGTTGCCTGACCATTGTGGTTTTTTGTTGCCCTGTTGGCAATGGAGAGTTTAAAGAGGACAGTGAGGTGGCTTTGTGAATGTTTATGGGGAGATGCTTCCATAGTCTTTCCCTTCCCTTGCAGCCAGTGCATTGGCAGGAGATCTGAGTATTGACTCTAGACAGAAAAATAGCCATTCTAAAATATCCAGGAAAATGAAATTACATGTTTTCTCCTTTCTCTGAGACAGGAATTAAACACAGTCAAAGTTGGATAGGAGCCCCATATGTAGAGCCAGAGGCTGCTGTGGGTCAAGGCTGAGATGGTTTGTATGGGCTGAGATAGCAGGGTACTGGTAAGGCAGGACTGAGGTGCATGGGAACCAAAGACTGCAGTGGCAGGGTACTGAGCAAGTCAGTTATTTTAACCAGTACTGCTTTATCTGGAATTGATGAATTTAGAGACCTCATGCATAGTTCCACCATATGATGGTGCCAATTTGCCAAACAAATATAAATGGATGTTTCTGAGAGCTGTAAGATAATACATATGCAGAGGGAGGACATAAGGCCATCACAGTAGCTCATATAGTTGGATAACAGTTCCCTGCCCCTCTCCCCGTATCCCCAAACTTAATGAAGAGTGAAATCTGATGTATTTGGTTCATTTTAATTTTCTCGCTCCACTTTATCCCGTTTGATCCAATGAACCACAGATATTGTGGTCTCTGAGGGAGCGGATCACAGAGGCCCTAACTCATGATGGCTGTGTTTACAAATATGACATCTCACTCCCTGTGGAGAGACTATATGACCTTGTGATTGATACCAGGGCTCGACTGGGCAAGACTGCCAAGAATGTGGTTGGCTATGGCCATCTAGGTGAGTTGGGAAACATTACAGATTTCCTTTTGTAGTTTAGCTTCTAAGAAACGGAAACTAGATGGTATTGGCTGACTGAGAGCTATAGCTCTAGTCGGAGATGTGAGGATTTGTGGGAATCCACTAATTTCAGACATGATCCCTATGCTTAATGGAAAAATTGATTTCATAACATTAACAATTACTAACAAAAATAGCACAGTATAAGAAGTTATTCAAAGAGATGTTGCCTTGTAGCTCCTTATCTAGTGTTTTGAGTAGATTTAATTGGGCAATAAGTTTGATCTGCACAGTCAAATAATAAATGTAAATGTTTGGTAGGTAACCACTGTCCTTGTTAGAGGGAGTAGCAATATTTGTAAACCAATTATGGCTGAGCCATTAACCACCAGAAGAAAGTGATTAAAATAATACAATTCAGATAAAAAGGCCTTGGAATTTGCAAAGGGATATTTTGAAATTTATGTAGTGAAACTTCAGCTACTCCGGAGACAGACAAATGGATTGCTTAACAGAGCTGAGCTGTCATTAGAAGTGGAGCACTGTTAAGCACTCTCTGTTTGAAGATATTTTAGAGCAATGTCTTTAAAGAGGAGGTTGCTTAATAAAGGTTGTCTTTTGTACACATTTGACTATATAACAAATTGGATTATTATTTTTAATTCTACTTATTAATGTCAAGAGTCATGTTCCCTTTTGGGAGAGCTTCCAAAGTGAACATGAATCACTAAAAACTTTAGATTTATCTTGATTCCCAAATAGTCAATAGATATTTAGATGTTAATCAAAGATCATTATTCAGAGGCAGCCCAAAAGAAAACATAACTCTATTAATGTAACACAGAGGTACATTTAAATCAGTGGTTCTCAAACTTTTGTACTGGTGACCTCTTTCACACAGCAAGCCTCTGAGTGCAACCCCCCCCTTTATAAATTAAAAACACTTTTAAATATATTTAACACCATTATAAATGCTGGAGGCAAAGCAGAGTTTGGGATAGAGGCTGACAGCTCATGACCCCCCATGTAATAACTTTGTGACCCTCTGAGGGGTCCCGACACCCCGTTTGAGAACCCCTGATTTAAATGGTTGCAAAAATATAATTGGAAGAGATTGAATAATGTGGTATGGGTAAATTAAAATGTCACAATCCTAATGAAGTAACTTTTAGATAAATCTTTGCCACAAGAAATATTGTGGCTGAAGTTCTAAAAGCACTAAATCAGGAAATGGAAAGTTATTTTACTCTACATTGTGAGGGCTTTCTGACAGACTGTACTTCTTAGAGATGGCACAATAGCTAGGAAACCTTCTGAGTTATTCAAGCACATAACTGTCTGAAGAGAGGAACCACTGTTTGTAGAATACTAATGGACAGCTGTTCTCAGGACATAACACAGATTCTGCTGTTTTGTTACACAGCAGAGCCAATGATAAATTTCCATAGCAGGGTCATTCAGTTTCTCTATCAGAATCATCTCAGACCCAGCTCTATTATGCTTTCTTCCAGGAGATGGAAACCTGCACTTGAACATCACAGCTGAGTCCTACAGCCATTCGCTGCTGAATGCCATTGAGCCATTTGTGTACAAGTGGACTGCACAGTATAATGGCAGTATCAGTGCAGAGCATGGACTGGGCTTCAAGAAGAAGCATTACATTCAATACAGTAAGCCACAGGAGGCAGTCCTTCTCATGCAGCAAGTCAAGGCCATGTTGGACCCCAAAGGGATTCTGAACCCTTACAAGACACTGCCAGCTAGTTCCTGAGAGTTTCGTGCTGCTGAGAAACAGGTGAATGTCCTGCTGTATCGACTGTATCTCTAGCTCATAACTGCACTTTAGACACTGACAGACTGAACAACAATTTCCAAAGCTGCTTTGCTCACTTTATGATTGTAATGAAATGGTAAAGGACTGTATATATAGGGCTTACCTGACAGTCCCTCCCATGCTGCAGTGCTTAGAATTATCTCCCATCCCAGTCCAGCTGGTGGAACCCTTGAAAAGCCTTAACTCTCTAATGCTCTGTTGATGGCTTTTCCTCTGTACTTTAGATTGTTTTTTTATTTCATTCATAGTCCGTGCTCGTGGATGTTAGCAAGAGCTACACGCAGCAAGAAGAAAGTGTAAGCAGCGTCTAGATTTGGTAGACCATCTGTGCTTTCTATCACTTTCTGGCAGTGGGGAAGTTTAAAATCTCTGTGTTGCTTACTCTGCATAGGAAGACAATTTACAGCCTGTTTTCAAACACAGGCCTACAATTTTACATGTGCAAATTATTACACCTGCAGCTTAGGCCTCTTCAATCTAGGTATGTGATTTGTGGGTGCAGTCAGCTATGGAAATGGAAGATTAAATTCTGGTTAATCTCTGGAGTGTAAATGGCAGGATTATGGCAGTGCTGTTCCTGATCCTGGAATTATAGGTATTTGCCCCTCACTTGCTCATAGTTGTATGTATGTGGGGTAATCCTGGCACAGTTGGTAAATTCATGGCAGTGGTGGTAATTTGCTAAGCTCCACTAGGTGTCCAACAGGCAGCTCTTAGTGGGCATCATGATCATATCTTTGTCCCTATAACTCCCAGCTGAGATCAGCTGTGTTTAGGGCTTCTTTATAGCATTTGCCTCACTAGCGCCAAGCCAGAGCTAACAATTTGTGCTGACACTTGGATACTACAGTTATAGGCACACTAGAAATACTGTAGTTGGTACCCAGAGTAGGGTTTCCAGTAATGTCAACCCCTCTGTAATCTTTCTTTTCACACAGATATTACAAACCTGAGATCAGAGGTATAAACAGCATCCCATCAACAACACCCTGAGCCAAAGACAGCTTTGGACTAACCAGGCCAGAATTTTACCCCTTTACCAGGACAGAATTTTGTCTCTTCCATTCACCGTGCCCTCGCTTGGTTTAACAGAGAATGTAATCATCCTGCCCACAGATCTTGTAAATTCATGGAAGTAGACTGCAGTTTTTCATTAGATTTTGGCTAAACTGGTGATTGTGTATCAAACTAGGCTGTTTTGATGGCAAAGATCGTATTGGGGCATCATGGAATAGAAGAGGCCAGTTTATAAAGACAGCATCTGGTTATGCTTGCATTTTGGTAATCCGCAAGGAAGGGAAAGGAGAAAATATACGTGTTAACTAGGGTATATACATTAATTTTCTTCGTGGATTGGGGCTATTAGCCGCTTGACCGACATCTCTACTCCCTTCCTCTCTGTTGCACAGCAGAGAGGGGAATGTAGGTGCATTGATTGTACAGAAATAGGAGTTAAGAAGCTGGGCAGCAGGAAAGGTGACTACACATCGGTAGCATGATTCCATACCTCTTAGTCACTGGCAGCTCCTCAGCACCAAAAATATGCAAATAAAACCCCATTTGAAATGCGGGGCTTGGCCTGCTGAAGGGCAGTGGAATTGAGGAACAGATTGTTCCTCAAACCTAAATCCATAGGATCCCCTTGTAACGACCATGAACTCTTCCCCCTCTGGCCACAATACACCAGTAGGCAGAGCGCAACCAATGGCAGTGATATATGGGAAGTAGCCATGCTGGCCAGAGGCCTGAGAGAAGTGCAGAAGGGCATGTGTTTACCAGGCCAGGCTTGTGAGATTTCATTGTTCAAACTGAAAACAAGTCTGAGCTGAACCTTTTCTGGATCAGGACAAACATTTACATTTAATGAGAACATTTTACAGTGAATGTATGATTATCTGGCAGGGACTTGGGGTTTGACTATTTAAAACTTGATCAGAATTAAAAAAAAATTGCACTATTTTAATTCACAAAACCTTGTATAATGTTTTGCCAGTATTATACCCTCGTCTAACTGGAGACCTCGTAATCTTTCTTAGGAGAACAGCTTGAGGATCTTGGTGTTATTTCCAGTGATCTTCTAATAAATGTATGTTTTTTTATGACTATAAGAAGCTTGATAAAACATAAGAGTTAATAAAAATGAAGACTGATTTGTTTTTAATATGATGGCACCAGTCAGGTTTTATTCCTTGTGTCCTTATTGTAAGCAGAAGCTCCTATTATGCTCTGACCAAAACCTACACAACCTGGTCTGATACAGCCCCTTTGTACAACTCAGTGCCACAGAAACTGTAACTCAAACAGATCTGCTCCTGCAGGAATTCCTCTGGCTGAGCCCTGGTCTACACTAGGACTTTAGGTCGAATTTAGCAGCGTTAAATCGATGTAAACCTGCACCCGTCCACACAATGAAGCCCTTTATTTCGACTTAAAGGGCTCTTAAAATCGATTTCCTTACTCCACCCCTGACAAGTGGATTAGCGCTTAAATCGACCTTGCCGGCTCGAATTTGGGGTACTGTGGACACAATTCGATGGTATTGGCCTCCGGGAGCTATCCCAGAGTGCTCCATTATGACCGCTCTGGACAGCACTCTCAACTCAGATGCACTAGCCAGGTAGACAGGAAAAGAACCGCGAACTTTTGAATCTCATTTCCTGTTTGGCCAGCGTGGCAAGCTGCAGGTAACCATGCAGAGCTCATCAGCAGAGGTGACCATGATGGAGTCCCAGAATCGCAAAAGAGCTCCAGCATGGACCGAACGGGAGGTACGGGATCTGATCGCTGTTTGGGGAGAGGAACCCGTGCTATCAGAACTCCGTTCCAGTTTTCGAAATGCCAAAACCTTTGTGAAAATCTCCCAGGGCATGAAGGACAGAGGCCATAACAGGGACCCGAAGCAGTGCCGCGTGAAACTGAAGGAGCTGAGGCAAGCCTACCAGAAAACCAGAGAGGCGAACAGCCGCTCTGGGTCAGAGCCCCAAACATGCCGCTTCTATGATGAGCTGCATGCCATTTTAGGGGGTTCAGCCACCACTATCCCAGCCGTGTTGTTTGACTCCTTCAATGGAGATGGAGGCAATACGGAAGCAGGTTTTGGGGACGAAGAAGATGATGAGGAGGAGGAGGTTGTAGATAGCTCACAGCAAGCAAGCGGAGAAACCGGTTTTCCCGACAGCCAGGAACTGTTTCTCACCCTAGACCTGGAGCCAGTACCCCCCGAACCCACCCAAGGCTGCCTCCTGGACCCAGCAGGCGGAGAAGGGACCTCTGGTGAGTGTACCTTTTAAAATACTATACATGGTTTAAAAGCAAGCATGTGAAAGGATTACTTTGCCCTGGCATTTGCGGTTCTCCTAGATGTAGTCCTAAAGCCTTTGCAAAAGGTTTCTGGGGAGGGCAGCCTTATTGCGTCCTTCATGGTAGGACACTTTACCACTCCAGGCCAGTAACACGTACTCGGGAAACATTGTAGAACACAGCATTGCAGTGTATGTTTGCTGGCATTCAAACAACATCCGTTCTTTATCTCTCTGTGTTATCCTCAGGAGAGTGAGATATAATTCATGGTCACCTGGTTGAAATAGAGTGCTTTTCTTCAGGGGACACTCAGAGGAGCCCATTCCTGCTGGGCTGTTTGCCTGTGGCTAAACAGAAATGTCCCCGCTGTTAGCCACAGGGAGGGGGGAAGGTTGAGGGGGTAGTCATGCGGTAGGAGGAGGCAAAATGCGACCTTGTAACGAAAGCACATGTGCTATGTATGTAATGTTAACAGCAAGGTTTACTCTGAAAGAGTGTAGCCACTGTTTTATAAAATGTGTCTTTTTAAATACCGCTGTCCCTTTTTTTTTTCTCCACCAGCTGCATGTGTTTCAATGATCACAGGATCTTCTCCTTCCCAGAGGCTAGTGAAGCTTAGAAAGAAAAAAAAACGCACTCGCGATGAAATGTTCTCCGAGCTCATGCTGTCCTCCCACACTGACAGAGCACAGACGAATGCGTGGAGGCAAATAATGTCAGAGTGCAGGAAAGCACAAAATGACCGGGAGGAGAGGTGGCAGGCTGAAGAGAGTAAGTGGCGGGCTGAAGAGAGTAAGTGGCGGGCTGAAGACAGGGCTGAAGCTCAAATATGGCGGCAGCGTGATGAGAAGAGGCAGGATTCAATGCTGAGGCTGCTGCAGGACCAAACCAGTATGCTCCAGTGTATGGTTGAGCTGCAGCAAAGGCAGCTGGAGCACAGACTGCCACTGCTGCCCCTCTGTAACCAACCGCCCTCCTCCCCAAGTTCCATAGCCTCCACACCCAGACGCCCAAGAACGCAGTGGGGGGGCCTCCGGCCAACCAGCCACTCCACCACAGAGGATTGCCCAAAAAAAAGAAGGCTGTCATTCAATAAATTTTAAAGTTGTAAACTTTTAAAGTGCTGTGCTTAAAGTGCTGTGTGGCATTTTCCTTCCCTCCTCCACCACCCCTCCTGGGCTACCTTGGTAGTCATCCCCCTATTTGTGTGATGAATGAATAAAGAATGCATGAATGTGAAGCAACAATGACTTTATTGCCTCTGCAAGCGGTGATTGAAGGGAGGAGGGGCGGGTGGTTAGCTTACAGGGAAGTAGAGTGAACCAAGGGGCGGGGGGTTTCATCAAGGAGAAACAAACAGAACTTTCACACCGTAGCCTGGCCAGTCATGAAACTGGTTTTCAAAGCTTCTCTGATGCGTACCGCGCCCTCCTGTGCTCTTCTAACCGCCCTGGTGTCTGGCTGCGCGTAACCAGCAGCCAGGCGATTTGCCTCAACCTCCCACCCCGCCATAAACGTCTCCCCCTTACTCTCACAGATATTGTGGAGCACACAGCAAGCAGTAATAACAGTGGGAATATTGGTTTCGCTGAGGTCTAAGCGAGTCAGTAAACTGCGCCAGCGCGCCTTTAAACATCCAAATGCACATTCTACCACCATTCTGCACTTGCTCAGCCTGTAGTTGAACAGCTCCTGACTACTGTCCAGGCTGCCTGTGTACGGCTTCATGAGCCATGGCATTAAGGGGTAGGCTGGGTCCCCAAGGATACATATAGGCATTTCAACATCCCCAACAGTTATTTTCTGGTCTGGGAATAAAGTCCCTTCCTGCAGCTTTTGAAACAGACCAGAGTTCCTGAAGATGCTAGCATCATGCACCTTTCCCGGCCATCCCACGTTGATGTTGGTGAAACGTCCCTTGTGATCCACCAGAGCTTGCAGCACTATCGAAAAGTACCCCTTGCGGTTTATGTACTCGGCGGCTTGGTGCTCCGGTGCCAAGATAGGGATATGGGTTCCGTCTATAGCCCCACCACAGTTAGGGAATCCCATTGCAGCAAAGCCATCCACTATGACCTGCACATTTCCCAGGGTCACTACCCTTGATATCAGCAGATCTTTGATTGCGTGGGCTACTTGCATCACAGCAGCCCCCACAGTAGATTTGCCCACTCCAAATTGATTCTCAACTGACCGGTAGCTGTCTGGCGTTGCAAGCTTCCACAGGGCTATCGCCACTCGCTTCTCAACTGTGAGGGCTGCTCTCATCTTGGTATTCATGCGCCTCAGGGCAGGGGAAAGCAAGTCACAAAGTTCCATGAAAGTGCCCTTACGCATGCGAAAGTTTCGCAGCCACTGGGAATCATCCCAGACCTGCAACACTATGCGGTCCCACCAGTCTGTGCTTGTTTCCCAAGCCCAGAATCGGCGTTCCACAGCATGAACCTGCCCCATTAGCACCATGATGCATGCATTGGCAGGGCCCATGCTTTCAGAGAAATCTGTGTCCATGTCCTGATCACTCACGTGACCGCGCTGACGTCGCCTCCTCGCCCGGTATCGCTTTGCCAGGTTCTGGTGCTGCATATACTGCTGGATAATGCGTGTGGTGTTTAATGTGCTCCTAATTGCCAAAGTGAGCTGAGCGGCCTCCATGCTTGGCTTGGTATGGCGTCCGCACAGAAAAAAGGCGCGGAATGATTGTCTGCCGTTGCTCTGATGGAGGGAGGGGCGACTGACGACACGGCTTACAGGGTTGGCTTCAGGGAGCTAAAATCAACAAAGGGGGTGCCTGTACATCAAGGAGTATTTCAGGCAGGACTGCACGGAGGGTTCCAATAAGAAATGGTGCACCTAAGTTATCGTTCTTATTGGAACAAGGAGGTTAGCCTGGCCTCTGATTGATACATGGCTAGATTTACCTCGCTGCACCTTCTCTGTGAGTGACTGCAGTGTGATCTAGAGGAATGAGTCCCCTAGACAGGGGAGGAGGCAAATGAGTACAAAACAAATCTGTCTATTTCTTGTTCTGAGCCACTCCATCTATCTTTTACATCTTTGGCTGGCAGCAGACGGTGCAGAAGGACTGCATGCCATCCACATCTCATGGCTGCTTGGCAGAAGATGGTACAGTACGACTGCTAGCCATCTTCATCTCTTGCCTGCCTGGCAGAAGATGGTACAATACGACTGCTAGCAATCCTCATCTCTTGCCTGCCTGGCAGAAGATGGTACAGTACGACTGCTAGCAGTCCGTATCACCTGCCCGCTCACCATAAGACGGTTCAATAGGACTGACTGCAGGACTAAAGAGAATGACCTGGTCAAGTCACTCCAAATTTAGTCCCTGCACCCATGTCTGCCCAGGCGCTCCCAGCCGACGTGGCCAGGAGCACCTCGGACATGACGATGACGGCTACCAGTCGTACTGTACCGTCTGCTGCCACAAGGCAAGGGGTTGCTGCTACTGTGTAGCAATGCCGTACCGCGTCTGCCAGCACCCAGGAGACATAGGGTGACGGTTACCTGAGCGGGCTCCATGCTTGCAGTGGTATGGCGTCTGCACAGGTAACTCAGGAAAAAAGGCGCGAAATGATTGTCTGCCCTTGCTTTCACGGAGGGAGGGAGGGAACGGGGGCCTGACGATATGTACCCAGAACCACCCGCGACAATGTTTTAGCCCCATCAGGCATTGGGATCTCAACCCAGAATTCCAATGGGCAGCGGAGACTGCGGGAACTGTGGGATAGCTACCCACAGTGCAACGCTCCGGAAGTCGACTCTAGCCTCGGTACTGTGGAAGCGCTCCGCCGAGTTAATGCACTTAGAGCATTTTCTGTGGGGACACACACACTCGAATAT